TCTATCTATCTATCTATCTATCTATCTATCTATCTATCTATCTATCTATCTGACAAGAACATGGCAGTTACATATTTTTCCTTACTCATTTGAGGATTTATCACATTTCACAAACTCACATTTTTTTAGTATATTATTTTGTTTATTTGTGGGTTATTGAGACAGGGTCTTTTAGAATGACATTATGTAGGTTAAAATCATCATTTATACTTTAATATATTCACATCAATTGCTACAACTCCATTTAAATTCATATTAAAACTAATTAAAATAATTTTAGTTCTTGTGCAAGAATTTACAATTTTATTTGTACTTTTCAGCTGTTTTTTTAGTTTTAAAGTTTATGTTATATAATATTTCAGCATATCAGTTATTAAGAACATTGTATTTAATTGCAATTCTTGTCGAGACTATCAATAAACTGTTATACAGCATTATTATTGCAGTTATCAAGTTATTTAATACAGCTCAAAATAGCACTGATTGATATGTATTTTGGAATGTTTTAATGGATTTATTTTATATATGTAGCAATGGGTTCCAGAATAAACCTTTTTATTAATCAGCTAACCGTTTGAGCTTAGATTGTAAATAAAATAGTATTATGATAAAATGATTGTGAGTGAAATGATAATATGACCAAAATATTTTTATCCAAATAAACCACTACCTCAAGTGTTGATTTATTTATTTACAATGTTTAGGCACGTTTTCCAAACCCTTCACATGCTTTTAGTGCAGTTACACATATCAGAACACCTCAGATATTCTGTAAAATGAAACAGTGTAAAAGAAATACATTGCTAAATCAATCCCCATTTGTCATCCAATCTTTTTTTTAATGATCTTTTTTAAAACATTTGCTAAACCTTAATTTTTTACTTTCTGTACATGGGCACAAACTCCACGCAAACAGGAAAGAAGCAATGAATGAATGGATGGATGAATAAATGTGAGGTATGAAGGAAGGGGGCAGCACGGTGGTGCAGTTGGTAGACCTGCCGCCTCTCGGTGAGAAGGTTGCTGGATCAAAGCTGGGCTAGGGGGCCTCTCTGGGTGGAGTTTGCATGTTCTCTCCGTGCTTGCGTGGGCTTTCTCCAGGCACTCCGGTTTCCTCCCACAGATCAAAAACATGTATGTTAACTCTAAATCAGGGGTCTGCAACCTTTACGAGAGTCATTTTTACACCTTCGTTCACTACAATAAACGTGTCCAGAGCCACAGCAACCTGCTACAACTGTACTTATCAACTGGTGGCCAGTGAGCCACTTTAAGTTTGCTGGTGGGGGCTTTTGTTGCCCAGTAGGGATGACATTATAAAGCAAAAATATATCTAATGATTTTTAACATTCATTAAAGTAAAATACTAGATTCTTATAAAGAAGGGGGGAGGGGGATCAGTTTTTACCATTTTTTTAATTAACAAAACTACAAAGTCTATGCAGCCAGTTCTTCATATAAAGAAATAAAGCACCAACTATGTTTTACACTCGCTCCAGTGTTCACATATTTACAAAAATAAATGACAGGAAAACTGTATGAACTAACCTTATTTTGTTGTTTGTATAACCAATACATTTTAGTTTTATGTCACTTATGTCAGTTTTGGTCAAAGCTTGAAAGAGCCACTGAAGAGGGGCCAAAGAACCACATGTGGCTCCAGAGCCACATATTGCAGACCCCTGCTCTATTGTCCCTAGTGAGAGTGAGAGAGTGAATGGTTGTTTGTCTCGTTTGTCTCTATGTGTCCCTGTGATGGACTGGAGACCTGTCTAGGGTGTACCCCGCCTCTTGCAGAGTGACTGCTGGATATGGGCACCAGTGACCCCTGAGACCCAAAAATAAAGAAGTGGGTAAAAGATAATGGATGGAAGGATGAAGGAAGTAAAAACAAACAAACAAACAAAAAAAAAACACCAGTAACTACACAAGACCACTGCTGCAGACTGATGCAAAGATTTATCATACCCTCAAGTCAGTCATTATGGAAGTTTGAAAAATATAACATTTTAATACAACTGTAAGCTCAGCAAATATTCACTTAGACAGAAACTGTGAAGCAAAACAATTACAGTAACTGTACAGTAAGAAAAACTGCCAAAGACCGGATAAACAAATTCTAGTTTAGGCATGAACTCCTCACTAAGCTGAAGCTGTCTATAAGACTTCATTGACATTAGAGGCCCATTTGCAAGGCATGATGGGAAAACCTTATGTACCAAATCCATCCCTGATGCTGCAGCAGCATAGCATGTTTTAGTGTATCACTTACATGTTTGCACATCTAGTGGAGGTGTTCAACCATTTGGTGAAGCTAGGTGAGGCTAACTGAAAAGAAAAAAGCTTTAAAATGGAAAGGCAGTGACGTCATGATATCTTCAATGTGCATCTAAAGCAGATGAATGCCATACAAAAATTCCCTGACTGACGTTGTGCTCATAGATGTGCACATAATGGCTGATGTTTTGCTATTTAAGTGTTACGATTTCTTAAATTTGGAGACAACCAAACAAACAGTGAGATAGACAACAGCAAGAAACAGAACAAATGGATGTCTTTAAACTTCTTAAATTTCAATGAAAATAAAACAGAAGTGATGATGTTGGGTCCTAGCGGCTCTTGTGAACCTTGCCCTGTTGATCTGGGTCCTCTGGCATCACATGTAAAGAAAACAGTTTCTAACTTGGGTTTTAAAATGGTCTGTGATTTTAAATTAGATTCCCAGATTGGAGCGGTGGTCAAGACCAGTTTTTATCACCTCGGACAGCTTGCTAAGGTAAAGCTCATCCTCACAAAACAGCAGCTGGAAAGAGTAATCCATGCCTTCGTCACCTCTCGGCTGGATTACTGCAATGCTCTTTACCTTGGCGTCAGCCAGTGCTCCCTCAGACGCCTCCAGTTGGTCCAGAACGCTGCTGCTCGGCTTCTAACTGGAGTTCAAAAAAGGGAGCACATCACCCCCACTCTGGCTTCACTCCACTGGCTGCCTGTTCATTTTAGAGTTCATTTTAAGATTCTTTTATTTGTTTTTAAAAGTTTAAATGGCCTTGCTCCATCCTACCTCTCTGAGCTGCTTCACTCATACTCTCCTGCTCGGTGCCTCAGATCAGCTGATCAGCTGCTCCTGGAGGTGCCGAGGTCTAAGCGGAGGCTCAGAGGGGACAGAGCTTTTTCTGTTGCTGCTCCAAGACTGTGGAACGATCTCCCTCTTCCCATCAGACAAGCCCCTTCACTGTCCATTTTTAAAACTCTTTTAAAAACACATTTTTACTCCCTGGCTTTTAGCACACACTGAATTTGCTCTGCACAGTTTTTATTGTTTTTATTGATCTTAATGTTTTAACAACTGTTTTATGTGTTTAAGTGTTCTTGATTTTATATGTACAGCACTTTGTGGCAGCTGTGGTTGTTTTTAAATGGCTTTATAAATAAAGTTTTATTATTATTAAAAATCAATTTGATTCCTGCTGCACTTTCCCTTC